GACCCACCACAGTTACAGGACATTTTGAGAGATGCTCATAGTCCCCTGGAACTTAGTTGACCTAGGAGGGCAAGGAGCAAAAACTGTCCTTTATGTCCCTCTGACCAAATTAGTATAGACCTCAAACTATGGCTGTTAGACATCCATAAGGTTAGTTTTTCCAGTCTGGTATTTTTTCTTTTTTTTCGTCTTTTTGAGACAGGCTCTCTCTGTAGCCCCAGCTGTCCAGGAACTCACAAGGTAGATCAGACTGGCCTCGAGCTCACAGAGATCCGTCTGCCTCTGCCTCCTGAGTGCTGGGATTAAAGGCGTGTGCCACCACACCCAGCTAGTCTGGTATTTTTAATCACCATGTGTTATATAGATAAAGCTTGGACAAAGACCAAATGTTTTCAGATAAACCTTGCCTAGACATGTATTATATTCCTTGAGCTAGTTGTATGTATAATTTGTCAGTAGGTTGTTCGATTTATATGGTTCCCTCTGGTTTTTTTAAAACTAGCCTAGCATTATTTATCTCTCATGTTGTCTAACCCTTCCACCATGGTTTCTATGGGGGACATTCTTATTCAAACCACCCACATTCTACTCCCAGTCCCCATAGACTCATGGCCATATCATAATGCAAAATGCCTTTAGTCTGATTTTAAAAGTCCCCATTGTCTTTAACAGTCTCAGAATGGTTCAAAACTCTAAAGTCCAGAGTCTGTTCTGAGATTCAAGGTAATTTCTTAACTATAACCCCCTGTAGAAATCAAAAAGACAAATCACGCATTCCAATATACAATGGTACACAATATACATTCCTGTTCTAAAAAAGAGGAATGGGGACATAGTGGGGAAATACTGAAGCAAGGCCAAGACCCAGTGGGGAGAATACTAAATCCTGTAGCTCCACATCTGGTGTCTTGGGCTTTAAGAGGCTTAGCTGGCTTAGCCCCTCTAGCTTTGTTGCCTGCTCTCTCTCTCTCTCTCTCTCTCTCTCTCTCTCTCTGTCTCTCTCTCTCATTCTGCTTCCTGAATGCAACTCTCCTTAGCATATATCTCATAGCTCTGAGATCGCCAACACCCTGAAGTCTTTATTGCTACCCAGATTTGTTCGATGGGTCTCTGGCCCTCTTAGGGCATTAGGGACTCTCCTACCACATGTTGATCAGCTTCAGCAACTCACTGAAACAGTGGAGGAAGAATCATGACCCCCTCACGCTTGCATTTTTCATATCTCTAAAGTCAGTGTGGATCACACTGCCAAATTCAGTTGCCAACTTGTGACAGACCCTCAGCCCCTTTGACCATATTAGGAACAAGCTTTCTCCTTTAATAAGCTGGCTGCTTGGCTGGGTGGAGTCGTGCTCTGAGGGCACCCTTCCCATCGCTCCAGTGCAGAGCAGTGGTGCTAGTCTCTAACAATTACAGCTTCCTCTCCAGCACATGCCTTAGCTGCAACATTATGTTTATGACTGTTCTTTTTCTCTCCAAACTATATATTTTATATTTCTTTCTGTCCCACTAACCCTTTTTTCACTCTAAACCCACATAATAGTTATCAGTAATAACCAAGTCACAGATTCAGTGATATACTGTCTTGGATTTTCCTCTGCCAAAAAAGTTAGTCCTTTATTTTAAAATTTAGCCTTATGCAAATTTTCAGGACAAGGCAGAAGGCAGCCAGTTTCTTTGCCAAAATGCCACATGAATAGCTTCTAGCCCAGTCACTCCTAGAGGCCTTGTTCCTTTATGAAACCTCATGAGCAAGGCTTCTACTGACCACTTTATATTCAGCACTACTACTACTGCCTTCCAGGATTCTATTAAATGGTCTGCTAAGCTCTGCTTATATCAATCAAGTGCATTTCTAATCCAGAGTTCTAAAGTCCTCCACATTTTTCCAAAACCAACATGGCCAGGTAATTCACATCAACACCTTACTTCTGGGACCAATCTTTGCATCAGTTAATTTTCTGTTAACTGTGATAAAATACCATGACTTAAGGCAATTTAAGGAAAGAAGAGTTTATTTGGGCTAACAGATCTAGAGAGGGAGTCCATAATGATGGGGGAGGAATGGAAGCAGGCACTTAGAGCAAGAAGCTAAGAGTTAACATCTTCAGCCATAAACACGAAGCAGAGAGAATGAACTGGAAGTGGGGTGAGGCTATGAAGTCTCAAAGCCTGCCCTCAGTGATACACTTCGTCCAGTAAGGCCATACCTCTTAAATCTCCCCAAACAACACTGGCAACTGGAGTATTTCAAGTGTTGAAATACTTGAGCCTATGGGGACATTTCTCATTTAAACTACCATATAGTCCATGAGACTCATCCAGTAGAGATGGGAGCAGTATTTGAACTTCCAGTTTTGGAGTACAGTAGTAGGAGCTGCTTTAAGAGACAGTGGGTGGCCCATGAATGGTGACTGGGGCCATCATGGGAATGGATGGGATTAGCTAGGGATATCTTCAGAGTGAGAAGGGAGAGAAGAGAACAGAAAATAGAGCTGTAACAAGCCTAAATATTTAAAGCCATAAGAAGGAGCCCTCAAAAGATAAGGAGGCCAGAAGATCCCTGCAGAACCTGTGATATAATCTGGACTCCACACATAACACAGCACAGTGATGAAAACCCAGTGCTTTGGAGTCTACTACACCAGGTGTTGAATATAAATTCCACTACTTAAAACTTCCATCATCTTGGACACATGATTTAGCCTTTCTTTCTACTTTTTTTGTGTATATTGTGTGCATGTGTGTGTGGATATATGAGTGTGAGGGGGTGTACACAATTTTCACGTGTGTTTTAGGGATCACACTTAGGTCCTCATGCTTGCAAAGCAAGCACTCACTGGCTGAGCTGTCTCCCTATCCCTGACTTTGCCTTCCTAAACACTACTGTGTTGTTGGAGGGATTAAATGAATGTTGTATTTCAAAATCTTTGGCACACTACCTGAGACTAGTAGGGGCTGGGTAAATGTAGGAAGAGATGCAGAGAGGCTCATAGCTGTGAGGGCTAATAGAGATGGAAATAGTCTTTAAGAAAACATTCTATTTGCAGCCCTTGGCAGTGTGAACAGAGGGAGCCACATCTCAGCCAGCAAGCCTGAATAGGATCTGCGGTAACTCTACACAGCCCAAAGCCTGACGTGCCCTGGGGTAATGTAATGAAAGGTGTTTTCCTCCTCCCTCCAGGACAGGTGCTCAACTGATACAATTTAGAGTCTCAAATTCCACAGCTTAATTATTTGTTCTACATACAAGTTAGCCCAGCTCAGAACACCTGTGGACTAAGTTCTTTTGATGCTCCTAAGCCTGTCTTTTATTAAGCTCTTTGCAAGCAGTCAAAATAAGACCAAATGTCCATGTGTCCCTGTGTATCCATGTGGGCATGAAATAAGCCTGCTCAGAGACTGCACAGTAAGTGCTTAAAATAGCCAATGAATCCTTGGGCTCTGGAAAATATGGTTATGTGATTAATGTAACCAGAGTTAAATATGAAATAAAATGAAATATTTTATATGTATAGAAACTTGCCTACACACATAAAATTCCCTATTAGTTATACTTGAAGTTTAGCCATGTTGAATCGATAAAAAATGATTTAGAACGAATGGTTTCCAACAGCTGGTTGCGCTTTCAGTCTTCCATAAAGAAGTTAAAATTAATTTTAATATGTTGATGGTGCTTATTGATGATAATATTCATAATAAATATCCATTGAAAAAATTCTCTGGCATATCTATGTGACAGAGAGGTCAAGAATGTTAATGACCATCACCATACAGAATGCAATTCAGTCAATTACTTTAATTAAATCTAAAACTACTTTATGTCCTCTCATTTATATAGTAAACTGATAGTGGGGGAAAAGGACAGCGTCTTCATCTGTCTCCTCTTAGAGTCCAAAGATGGGAGCTCAGATCACATTTTAACATTTGTAGTTCTTCTATCCTTGCGGAATACTTGAAGTAATTATGGGTCTTATAAGTAATGTTCTTGCTATAATAAGAGGAAGAAAAGGTGGAGAATTCCTTTCGAATGCACGTTTATAGAAGGAGAGCTTTGCCTCTAATCTTATATTTACACATTTGGTGATGCTGGCTACAGCCAACATTCCAGGGTAAATGGTAGAAATGTCTGCATTTCTCTCTCATTACATTGTTTGGGATCAGAGGGGAAAGAGCATAGTTGTTTGAATTCTTTACTACCACATAGGTAAAACTTACTTGTCATTTGCATCATACAAAATTCTTTCATTATTGGTGTTGCCATACAGAACTTTGTATTCTTTAT